CATAAATGAGCTTTTTTATTCAATCGATTTGCATGGAAAAAAAAGAGAGAAAGTGAAAAAGCCGATCATTTACAGCAAACTTCGGTAACCTTTTTAATCATCAAAGATTCCCTTTTTTTTTAGGGACACAAAACTTTGCTGTTGTTGTTGTTGATACTGTTGTTGTTGTTTGTATATTTCGGATTTTCTTGTTATGGTTGTTTTATACAAAGCGCTTTCGCACCTTTTGTTCCACAGAGTGGTTTTTCGGCAATCATAAAGCCGATAGAAAAAAAAAAGTTAAGGGTACAGAAAATTAAAGATTTACAATGTTTTCTGCATTGTTTCGAATGGTTTCAAAAAAGTTTCCTTTTTTTTTTCTTTTTATAACAATAAGATTAATAGTATCTAACCGTTACCGCGATAGGCTTCAATTGCAACTTTGAATGTGCGAAACAAAAAGACGAGGAACTGATCAATTTCACCTGTAAGAAACAGTATTCTCGACCATCAACTGTTGTTCTTTTCTTTTCTTTTTTTTTTTGCTTTTTTTTCACTTACCAAAAAAAAAGAGAAGAAAACTTAGTGCAAATAAAAAAAAATAAACGAAAATAAGAAATGTAATACTTTTAATTAGGCCGTGTAGGCAGCATCTTTTCTATTCACTTTTGATGAACATTTTTTTTTAGCTTACTCAAATAGACATCAAACATGTAGGAACAAAGAAGAAAAAAACTTTTTGATTTTAATATTATCTACTTGTTTTTGCTCTTAAATTTTTGTTGGGAAGGAAAAAAAAGATTGATAAGGCAAAAGAACCAAACAAAAGATAGAAAATAGAAAGAGAAAGGCAAAAACAAAAGTATGATTTTTTTTTCTTTGCTAAATGATTAAACTACCCTTCTCTCCGTCTCCGTCAAAAAAATAGCTTTTTTGTTAGTCGGCCTAAACTGTTTTTAATCGTGTTTTAGTTTGCAAAAAAAAAAAATTTGTTTTATAAATTTTAACTCTAAAGTTTAATTTTTTTTTTGTGTTTTTGTCAGCGTATTATTCGATTAAACAAACGAAACAAGAATAACAACTCTTTTTTTTTCTTGTTTAATGTCTCTTCAACAACGACAACAACAGTGGAAAAATAAAGAAAAGGAAAAGACTTGTTTTTCCACAGCTATTATTAATAATTTGTTAATTATGATGCAATTTTCAGATAACAGCAATTGTTAATTCATGGGGTGTATTATTTTTGTTGTCTGCTGTCGAGAATCGTATCATACAAAGTTCATCGTTGAATACAGCAGAATCAACGCAAAATGCAACGTTGAAAGCCAAACTGCTGTCTGCTGTATCGCAGTTGGAAATGCTCAAATTGGATGCCAGTGAATACAGCTATTTACGAATGTTAAGCCTTCTGAAAGGTTCTGTAACTTTGTTGTTTAATCTCTTTGACAGTGTTGTTTTTTTTTTTTTTTTTTTTTTTTTT